CACTGTTTCTGATTCCACCAAAAGATTGTGCTCTGCGCCCGCCGCGTGATAGTAAAACATGCATTCTTTCGCACGTATTGGATAAGAATTCCCAATGACTTTTGGGGGTTTATGGTCCATTTAAGGTGCTAGTTCCAAGAAACTTCGTATTTACAGACACGAAGAGATGCTGCATTTACATGATCCGCAGAGTCTTTTGATTCCCTATTACGCCGGTTCGTTGAATCAAACCCAGGGGATGTAGGTAAGGTACATGTATGTAGGTACCTGTTGATATATATAACTAGCCTTGCATCAAGCTACACATCGTGCAGTTGTGGGTTGGGTCTACTTCATGAAAACATTCGATGCAACAGGAACTCATACTTTCAGCTCCCTCGATGCTTTCATCCCTGCCGTTCATGCCGCAGCCACAAAATAAGTTAAGGAGCCCCGTGGAATCGCAAGAAATGCTTTTTTTTTGTTCCTTTTGGTTTAAGGATCTACCGTTCCTAGCCGGAAATCATTTCATCCGATATACTAAAGTCTTCCTTTGGAACTTTTGGAACTGTGGATAATAACCAGATGTAGCAGGTCTGATATAGGCAGACAAATGCTTCTCGCGTGCGATGAACCCCTGTTCGCTTGGCGTTTAGATCAGACGAAATGGCGCGAGAAAGACTAAAGTGGAGATTCCCCAGATTTCTCCTGTTCGTCCGATCTAGGACCTGCGTCCCTGAAGGGGTTTCGAGAGCTGTATGTCTGCGGGATGGAGATGACAAAGGGACGTGGTTCCTCTACCATTGTCAATATAATGGTAATAAGGTATAATTGCAAATGGTGATTTCGGTGGACCTCTTACTCGCATGCACCTATTGATCCGATCCATGAACTCTCCCGAGCCCCGTTTAGTAATAGACCAGGGAGGGTTGGTTTCATTCAGAGAGGAGTTTCGAGACCGCACAGACTCAGATATATGTATGCGTCTGAGTACTTGTCTGTGGCAGCATCATCCGTGTTGCCATATCTTTTTAGGATTTTTAGAGTGTGCAAAGAAGGGCACGCTCATCTACTAATAAGGGCCCAGTCCAGGTAAAATCAAATCCTTGACGCGATAATCTATTGGCATCTACATGTATGTATAGTATGGATTCATGTGGGCGCATATGAAGATGCCGATGATGAAGAGTCTAAAAAATAAGTAGAGTGTAACTACATGCAAGAGGTAAGAATCGAGACGTAACATATATGTTCTATCTTTGCCTGTACGGGTAGTTAGCCAGGCAGAGCATGTCTGTATCATCGTGCACTGTCTCACAGTGGCCGCTTGGGTTACATGCCGCAATCATCTCGCTAAAGATATGGCTTTTACGGTGATCTCGCTTTTGACCAATTTCCGTTACCTGGGCGTTATTCTGCCCGGACACCATATCTTCTAATAGAGTACATGTATGTCGGTATGTACAATACAGGCCAGCTGTCAAGGCGTACAATATCTCCTTTTGTACTACCAGAATCTCCCATTGTCAGCCTATCCATCGTATCATATCATTATCCTCCACATTCTTAACCAGAACCATAACCACACATATTCATCCATACTTATCACCAAGTACCTATACCTTTCTTATCCTCCTTCTATTCATACTCATCGTCATCATAGTCATCGGCATCAGTGCTCTGTTCGTTGCATGCTTTGTGTTAACCAGTTATTGCTTGTATATTTTCTCCATCTGACTACCAGTACATAGCAGGGGTTTAGTCGTTGACGTAGGTACGCACATATTCCAACACTGCCAGTGTGTTCTACTTTTTCAATTTTCGTCATCTTTTGCTGCAGTTGCTCCTTCGTTACTGATTGATTTACTGATTGCTCAGCGTAAGCTTGCAATTGGTGCTCAGTTCTTTGCCATCTGACACATCCAAAAAAAAGAAAAAAAAGCTTTAATCTTCAATCAGTAACAACAACCTTCCAAGGTTTGACTACGGTAAGGTTGAGGGGTGGAGCAATAAATGTGGGTGGTCCATAAACATACTGGCCTGCCTTGTTCGCGAATTCCAATTCTATTCCGCATGAAATAGCTCCACAGTTCCCATTCGGTCCAATCAAAACCATCGTCATCGGAGAATTTAGCGCAACAGAAGAAGCAGAGAAGACCAAGTATCCAACGGAAAGAAGAGACGAAATAAAGAATTATAACTCTAGCCATCAATCAAGCAGATATTCTCCTCCCCCATCTCTTACTCTACTCTCCTACACCTTACTGCATTCGGTACAGGCCAAGGCTTCTCTTTAGTGTTGTGGGTTACTCCAAGAGCGGTTACATTAACACGAACCCGTACGTACGTACCGTATCGGGAATCCCCACACAGAACCAGCGTACATATTATACTTACAGCTTCCCTCTCCCACCTTTCGCTCATTTTCCCATTTCCCTACCCTGCGCCGCACTCCATACCTCTCCTTCATCTTCCCCACGAATAAACAATCAGACATTCATTCACATCATCTCATTCTCAAACCAAAACTGTCAAATACTGCTGCTACTCTCAAGGGAGTTAATACCGCAACAATCAAGATCTCATCAGTCCTGGCGCGCCTTCTAAGAATGTGTATGGGAGGTAGTGCAGATGTGGGTGCCCAAAAATCCCGAGAGATCGAGAAACTCATCCGTCAAGATGAGAAAAAAATGTCAAAGGAAGTCAAACTATTACTTCTAGGTGAGTCGTTGCCACCACAACTTTTGATGATCTTGTCGTGCCCGCCACCCACAACTATTTATCTACATGTATGTATCACAACGATACTAATAGCAGTAAATAGGTGCTGGAGAGAGCGGGAAATCAACGATACTAAAGCAGATGAAGCTGATTCATGCTTCTGGATTCTCGAAAAGCGATCGAGAAGACTACCGTGTCATTATATTCTCGAACCTTCTCAACTCATTTAAGATAATACTGGAGGCAATGGAGGCATATAATCTTACATTCGTAAATAAAGAGAATGAAGTAAGCACTTGTCAACATGATATGAATTAATAATTATTTCGGATATTATGCTAACATACCTTTATCTGTGTATTTAGTCTTACGTTGAGCTAGTGATAATGGAACGAGAATTGGCCCGCGGCGAGAGTTTTCCAAAGGAGTATCAAACCGCATTTCGTAGTTTATGGATGGATCCCGGGGTTAGAAGTACTGTTAGTAGGGGAAATGAATACGCCTTACACGACAATCTGACCTAGTGAGTACTGCCCAACTTTCAATTGCTGGTTCATATTTATCATTTCTGCTGTTTCATTATAACTGGAATTTTGTACAGGTGCATGTCTCTTGCTGATCAACTCCATTTGCAGTTTTTTCGAAAGTCTTGATCGATTATTTGTGCCGAACTATACCCCTACAGATCAAGACATCCTACGTTCACGATTAAAGACCACCGGGATTACAGAAACCGTCTTCGATTTGGGGGCGTTGACATATCGAATGTTCGATGTTGGTGGCCAGAGATCGGAGCGAAAAAAATGGATCCACTGCTTTGAAAAGGTTACGGCACTGTTGTTTTTGGTAGCTATCAGTGGTTACGATCAGTGTTTAGTGGAGGACAAAGACGCCGTATGCTTTACCGCTATGAATTTTCATCTGTGGGGTGGATAAATGAACACTAACACCCTTTATTGATAGAATCAAATGCAAGAGGCGCTGATGCTTTTTGAAAGCATTTCCAACTCGCAATGGTTTATCCATACTTCGATTATTCTATTTCTTAACAAGATCGATCTTTTTAAAGCAAAACTACCTACAAGCCCAGTACGCAAATACTTCCCGGACTACACTGGCGATCCAAGATCGTACAAACACGCGTCTCAATACTTCGAGGAGAACTTTAAAAGATTAAACCGAAGTCCCGCAAAGGTTGGTACACCAGTCCCTTTATGCTAGTTTGGTAGCTCATCAACTCACATCAGAAACAGGAAATCTATGTTCACTTCACAAACGCTACCGATACCAATCTCCTCAAAATCACCATGTCAAGTGTACAGGACATGATCCTGCAAAAGAATCTACAAACTTTGGTATTATAGGTACCCCTGGACGTCTTATTGAGAAAAAGAAAGGAAAGGAAAAGGAAAAAATGAAAAGGCGCAACGGCGTTTTCTTTCTTTAGAAAGACTGTGATGTGGCTTTTATAACCGCATTCACATTTTCTTTTTCCCACACATTATATTAATTATCTGACATTTATCATCTTCCATTCTCGATAGCTTCCGATCAACGGTATTTGATAACATAAGAGTAACTATCCGTTCTTATTTTGCTTTGCTTCTTCGCGCCCTCACGAATGTTGGTGGTCTCAACTCTACTCGGTTCATGTCACTACATATGAATTTAGCTCCAGAGCCCAAAGTGTCTAGGGTTCGCTATTTAGAGGATTGAAGGCTCTTGAGGTTATATACGCACGCTCTTATGACACGAGTAAGGGGAAGGGGGAGGGTGGGGGGAGGGGGGGGGGGGGGTAGAAGGCTTTGCTGGGTGGGGAGGACCATGAGAAAACAATCTTTTCCGTGGAATATCGACGCATAGGGCGGCAGTATGCACGAGATACCCCGTTCCCTTGGTAAAGGGAAGTGTTTGCCAACAGCTTGTGGCTTTTTCCTCTATTTCTTTTGCGTTGTGCTTTTTCTATTCATGTCCTATTCTACTTGTAACTATAATTTTTTTCTGTACTTAAATGTTTTTCGAATGGGGGTGGGGGGACATGGCTTTGGGGAAAGGAGCGGGGGGGGATTAGGGTTCATTGAATGTGCAAAGAACCCTAAGTGATTGAACGATTCATTAAAGTTTTAGCTCCCGACACATCATCCACTTTTAGGTATAAGTCTGGAAATGGCAATTAAATAGCTCTTTGCACTTTGACAGATATTAACCCTGATTGCTGGGTACATAATGATGCCGGCGCAATATCATGCTAGGTTTACATGTTTTTGATGATATATTAAATATGAGCAATCAGTATTCGCGCCTCGATAGCTCAATCGGTAGAGCGTGAGGCTCTTAATCTCAAGCTTGCGGGTTCGACTTCGCCAGAAGGTGTGTCCCCCGTGAAAGCGGAAGTACTGTGAGCCCACTCTTAAAGGTAACCAAAAGTGACGGAAAGTAAATCGCTTATAACCTCACCACCTAAGAAGATAAAGAGAATCGGTAAGATAAAAGTGTATTAGTAGTGATGAACTTTAGTTTTATCTTACAGATTTTTGATATCTATCATGGCCATGGACTACATGGACTACAAGTACCTAAAGGGTTGTTTGTGATGATATTACCATAACTGAATTAATCTCATTCCTTCAGCAGTGTGAGAAGTACAAGACAAGACCTTTTCACTACCCATACAACACTGGTGATACGTATTGTCTACGAGCTCCAGGCTAGGAGCTACCTCAACCTAGTAAGAAAGCGATATAGGGGACACCCCTAAGAACCCTGTCAATGTAGTAGTTTAATGCAGTAGTTATTGTAATGCAATATATCCACAGTCGGGCTGTAGTCGACGGCGTCCGGCCCAGGACTGGTAATGCATTATTTGATTACCCGGCTTAGACAAGGTTGAGGAAGGAAGACGTAGAACAAGACCTAGTGGGATGAATGGGTGGCAACTACTCGTGGTGCCAGAATTAAAATGCCGCCGACCAACCCAATTAAGTATGATTTGGTGGTAAAGATATTAAGTAAGCGGCGATTTAATTTTGGCAGAGTGAGTACAGTACGTATATAGATAGGTGGAAGAGAGAGAGGGACTCCTCATTTTTTATTTATTTATGATTCTGGCACATTCAATTTCTCCCCGAAACTTTCTGATAGACCAGGGCCGCACCGCAACCTACGATACCAGTACCGCACCTAGCAAAATACTACAAAACTACGGTATAATATTTAAAATTCCGATTTAGTTCGGAACTTTTAAACAATTCCGTATTGATACAGTACGTATTACATCCCCTTTTTTGGTACTGTAATTATGTTATCGGAAACTGTTCAGAACCAACCAGGGACTGTGACAGCTCAACAACTTGCGAATGTTAACAATCGTTTCGATGGCATCGCTACACAGCTCGGAAATCTTGTCACTTCAGTGCAGCATCTGATCACTGCTCGACTCGGAGCCATTGAAAGCCAGCTGCTGGTACTTAACCATCTATGAGAGAGTCCATGCCAAGGAATTCTTTGTACTAAGGAACTTTACAGGCAACCGATGCGTTTGTACAACTCCATCCCGTCTCGTATCAAATCAGATACCCAGCAAACCTTAATCCTCAAGTGCCACGCCCTGCGAATAGATCTGAACTTCAGGAATATACTGGTTAAATGCTTTGTGACAGAGCTTCATCTTCGAATATATGCTAACATAAGGTATATCTAGTGGTGAATTGTCAAGCTCCAATTCAAGGCCTTCGTCTCCCACCACTCGCACCTGGAAGTCTGGCGATAGCATATCTCTTCGTCTGTTCCCGGTTTTCACAACTTGCCGGACTGTAGACGGCGTGGTGATATTCAGTACTCTAGCTGTGCTTGGATTATAACGCTGCCAAAAGAGAACAAACATGTTCAAAAAGTGAAAGATCTGTTGAAGGAAGGGTGAGGTTCACGGAGTGAGGTTTAGGCCTATGATTAGCGGATTTACCAGAGATTTTGCTCGACTGGTTTAGCCCCCACATAGCGCCCGGTCCTGAATACAGACGAAGAGATGGACAACATATTGCTGATTACCTTGGGGCTCCGATTGGAGCTTAATGGGAGATGGGAAATTGATGGAGCTGAATGCAGTGACGACGGTCAGGAGTTAATGATGGCATTCGTTAAAGTGGAAATGAATGTTTGCAATCTTTTTTCTTTGCATACATCATGGAGTTTGATTAAAAATGTTCTCAGGGATAATCAATCGAAGGAACCGAGGTAACGCTTGGGTAACGTACTCTCGAATCTGAAAAATAAATTTTAATTGACGGTAGTCGCGACCGTGGGCGGTCGCTTGGGGTTGTTTGTCTTTAATTTACGATGGTTTTTACGTCTGTTTTCATTGTCAAGCGGGGGGGCCCACAAAGTGGATGATGGCAGCCATGAGCGAAGCGAATGAATGTTTGTTACCGTAGGATTTATTTTAAGTTCTGCGAACTGAATACATGATGTTTTTACCGAGTGGGCGAGGTGGTGTTTGGGAGCGTGGAGTTTGTACGACACGCGAATAACTATGGTTAGTAGGGGGAGGTATGAATCCCCCCATTAGACTGACTGCCCATCAGCCTGGGGGATTCATTGAAGCTTCTTTTTTATCCCCCGAGCCTCATTAGATCTCCCACCCCAACAGCAATCATGCAACAGTCACTTATGATGAGGCCTAGCCCCCTCTCAGGGCCATGTATCATGCAATGTCACTCGGATCCTACCACCTAGCGTACGGCTCGGTAAGTAGGCCGAACCAACATTTAGGCGTGATGCAGGTCCCGGTGGTATGCATGTTCCATAGCTCCCTGCACGCCATACACAAAGATAGAGTACTATCGCTTAGGGTTGAGTGTTACTATAGTGCAGGTAGAGAGTTTCATTGGGGTTGAAAGCTGATCACACTAGCCTTTGGATGATAGAAAAAATCGGCAAGCTTTTGGTCCCGAGGGTGGGGGCGTCATCTATGTGCCTTTTTTCCTTGTTGCAAGTCTTAAGACCTGGTTTATATACGCTATATATATGTACTCTATTGGACACAGCAGGATGAGTATTGTATATATCGTGCTACATATGCATACTTGGTACAGGTAGGGGATAGGATAAATGCTGCAGGTGCGGTGCGATGGACATGCTTTACCGGCTGCTCGTTATGGTGCTGTCCGTCACATCTGTAGGGCAGATCAAGTTGAGTTGAGTTATCTCGAGTGACGGACTAGCAGAGGTGGGGCACAGTGGGGCTCTGACCGGATGTCTGGATTGGGCTGGCTAGCTGGCTAGCTGTGGTGTAACTTTCGGATGTGGGGCGTGTGCGGCGCAGGATCTAGCTAGGGAAGGATCGAGATGTTGCTTGTTAGATGTACATGTGTATGGGATTGAGAGTAGCTAAATTCGTCGTCAAGGATTCGAAGTGGAAGGCGTGTGGGTACATAAAGTATCACTCGGCCCGTCGCGGAGATCACCGTTAACATCAGCTGACATAGCACGAGAATGGAACTCTTTATATATCGAAACCATTCACCAATGGCTCTAGCTTGGATTAATAAGTAATTTAGAATCCCCGATAACGAAAAAAATTGAATTGAAAGAAAGGAGGAGCGAAAAAAAGGAAGGAGGAAAGAAAAGAGCAAGTCGGAACGAAGTCCCCTTATAACGTACTTTATTGTGTAACCGCTCATCGCCTGGTAACCGACCAAGGAAGCGCATACTCTTTATTTCATGACGTTTCCGGACTGGACTGGGTCTGCATATGGGCGTAAATCGTGCATAACAACCATATTTTGGTGGTATGCAGACCCAGTCCAGTCCGGAAACGTCATGAAATAAAGAGTACATGTACACTATCAATAACTTCATTAATACATACGCTATATAGATATAATGCCTAGATAATTGAGAATAGGGATTCTATATACCAAACAACATCCAAAATGCATTCATATATAGCATTGGGGTTATATAGGGAGTTTGGCTATTTCGGTATCTACCCTGAAAATGTACGAAAAATCATGCTTTTGGCGAACCTATAGGCGTATACTACGGGACCCTTTAGGGGAAGTGTATATATATCATATCTCATTATATATCTTCAATTTAAGCCAATATGCAATGGGACCGCTTATTTAATAGGTTTTCAGCCGGTAAATCCGATAATAACTGAATCAGCATCCCAAGATTACACTGTTGGGACAGCACCACTATAGTTAGGGTTACTTTTGCTTCACTATGTAGAAAAGCCTTTTGCCAACTCAAATTGATTATGTAAATTACTTATTTCATGATATTAAGCCGGGTAGGGGTAAACCGCTACTTGAGCGGTTTCCCGGTGGTGGTCGGTTACCCAGTGAAATACGTTAGTGCCCGCAGGTGCTATAGTAACCAACAGATTTCCTCAAAATAAAGTGCAATACGTATGTCTCTATAGCCTGCTGGGAACAATGCCTGAACTACACAACTCAATTGGCAACTGGGAGCCAGCAATTCATTGATAATGACCACAACAGCAACAAACCACCGCCCTTAATTATAACGTTAACGACAGATCAATCGTAAAGAGTATCGACCCCATGTGCACCCTCATGTTGTGCGCAGCGAGTAGTCCAGGGCTGATGAGAAGAAGTTCACTAACAAGACCGGCCTAGCTCGACCTCAGGCAAATTGGTTTTTACCAACACTCGTCAACACTTTGCTGCGGCCTTCGAATAAGTATATCAACATCAAGTCGGCAATGGCGGCAGAGAATTGATACTTTCTGCCCTTCAGGCGCGTAAAACGAAACTCCAAAGCCTTCCGCGGACAGAGATTTGAATAATTACGTGCGCACCACATATTTCCTATGTGTTTTTTAGGTAATATAGTTGTAACTTGCTATGCCGGATCTTAATACGTCGGATCCCTTGCTGTCCTATACGAAATCCTGGGGGATTTTGATTTTCTTCCTGCGAAATCAGTTTGCTATCCCGGATTTCTTGTGAATATTTGCTATCCCGTACGAGATCCTTAGGATCTTGGCAATCCGGCATATCGAGTTGCGACTGTATATATGTTCGTATGGGTTATTCAATATTTCCCGTCATTCCTTATCAACCATGCACTGCTAAAAATGTATGATGGTTCCATTAGATTTAATCCTACTCTTGGGGTGTACACCTTATACAAAAATCATGGCCAAAATTGAGTTGAAACAGAACACCAAATTGAGAGGGAATCATGCATATCGATTTCATTTGAAAGCCCCACGCGGGGGTCGAACCCGCAACCTTGAGATTACCTTAAGAGTCTCACGCTCTACCGATTGAGCTAGCGAGGCATAAAGATTTAGTTATTAGAATCCTTTGTAATCGTGTTATTGGTCATCCGCAAAGTGGGGCACAGGTTTCAAAGATTTCAATAATGGTAACAGAAGAAAAACACTTAGCCGGGGGAAGTGGCGCGTAAATACAGTGCTCAAGGTAGAGGGTGCTGATGCCAAGAGTGCAATGATATCTGGATCTGAAACCTTTTCGCTTCCGGCCAATAATATTAATCATTAGAAAGGTTTTGCAAAAAATATTAACTTCGGGTCGCGACCAGGTACTTGATTGGTGGGCAAGGACGATTGCCAAAGGATATTCCCCAAAGAAGGGTGACTTCTACTCCACAAGGCCGTTAATCGAAGTTCAAGCCAACCTTTTAACTTTCCATAGTTCAGGCAACAAGCTCTGGGTTTCGATAAACGGGCTTTGGGAGCATTTTGGTCTTAATTAGGAAGATTTCCTGTTACTCTGCCCCACTTCCACCTTAGCTCTCCAATCGCATCCCATCCCGAAGTTAATTCCAAAGTCTCCCAGCAAAACCTCTCTATTGACGTAGCGCTGTCTACCACACAAATGCCGAAAAGCAGGCCGAACACCACACATCCGATGGTACCCGGCCCGAGTGATTTCGAATGATCGGGCGGTTGCTCCATGCATCGAAGCACGGCACCGGCCCGAAAAAGGATATGCATAAAAAGAACATCAGAGACAGGCGAGATCCGGATGCCAGACCCGTTTTAAGGGCAGTTATGCAACCGCACTCCAGTCATTATCTCAATCGAGCACATCTACTGAATTTCCTTTTGGGCCGAGAGAAGGTGAGGCTGACGAATGGGTACATTGGATTATGACGTTAGATTACACAACAGCACCAGTTTGTGGGAAAGAAAAAGGATAGTGAACACGGCCACATCATTCAGGGCCCCGCGGGGGAATATTGAATTTGAAGTAGGACTGGGCAGCAGACGTAACGTACCTACACCGTACAGCTCTAAATGGTGGCCCAGTGAGGGGATTTTGAGTTATTTGTCTAGTATAAATAATTGAATCTTGTCACGGGGGGTGGACGGGACAGATAGATCGACAAACATGTATGTATGTAGGGAGACTTGAGTATTTATATAGCAGATAATCTACCCCAGGATTAATTAGAGTAGAAGTAAGGGAAAAGTGGATCTCCTGCATTTTATTGATGTGCCTATTCCCGTTCTCCACGCGCTGCATCTTTGGGTAAGAATCAGCTGTCTTGGCAGTGCCAACCAAACCTGAACGTCCGACCTCAACCCATCATCAGCCTGCCACCCGACACTCCTCCCCAGTCTCTAGATACCTCCTAGACAACCCTCTTCTTTCTCCGCAGCGTCCCAAAGAACCTACATTCACTCACTCACTCACTCAAAATGTTCTCTCTCCGACGGATCGCGCTCGCCCCGCGTGTCTGCGGCACCACGGCGTCCACCATCACCCCGTCCGGTGTTTCGATGCCCATGACATTGGCCAGCCAACGCAATAGACGATATTCCAGCAGCAGCAGCAAGCCAAGTAATCCCTCCGCTCCGAGCAACAACAGCAATAACAGCAACGGCACCGCAGCCACCACCGGGATTGCGGCTGCGGCCGCTGCGTTGAAGAAGAGTGGAAGGGCGGGGTTGAAGACTGTGCGGTCCTCCGCCGGTGCTATGGGTGTCAAGGAGGGAACCAATATCCCCGTTGTGCCAAGCACAGATCACTTGCATCCTGCTGGTATGTTGGCGATTATCTCCCATCTTTTTTTCGGATATCTAGAGCGAGTATAATGATTCTAACACTTTACAGACGTAGCAATCTCTACCTTCTTTGCCCAGCACCGTCCCGTGAGCATCTCCCACGTCGTACCACTCTCCTACTCTGAGACCTCCTTCGACTCCATTTTCACCCGCCGTAAGCTCTCGCCCATCCACGACTCGCACGCCTCCTCGATGGCCGCCGACTTCGGCGCCCACGAAGCCAATGCTGGCGAAGTTATTACACCAGAGAACCTTGTCGGCGGCAAGCGGTATATGCCGTTCTGCCCGCCCCCTGTGCCACAAGCCCAGACTGCGTTCGTGAGGCCGGCAAAGGTGCAATTCAACAACCGCATCGTTGACATGCCATTGGAAAGGATCATGATCAGACAGCAGATCCAAGAGGAGAACGCTATGGACGAGATGAAGGACATGGTTGAGCCTGAGAGCGAGGACAGAGGCGTGATGCAAGCGCTGTCTGTGAAGAGGCGGAGAGGCCTGAGGATGAAGAAACACAAGCTGAAGAAGCTCAGGAAGAGAACCAGGAACTTGAGGAGGAGAATTGAGTCACACTCGAAATAACTGTTCGTGTTCCACTACTACTGCTGATTCTTCTTTTTGTGTGTGTGCGTGTGGTATATATACTATAGACCGAGCTATGCTGGATTTCTTTCTTAGGTGGTAGATCTACTGCATTTTGCTTTGGTGTTGGCTTCCTACGGCTCATCCTCCCTTTTGTTTCTCATTTACGTTTTCCTTTCTATCGTCGCTGTTTAACTAAAGCGATTGATTGTGTGTATAGTGGGTCGGCTGTTGGGGTGTTGATGAATCTGGATTACCTTACTGATCCTTTCTTGTGCTTTGATTTTCTTTTCTTTCGCTTCCTTACGTCTTGGTCTTTGTCTTTGGGGGGGGGGGGGGGGGTGTTTCAATTACGGGGAGAAGGAGGCCGATGATGATTGGAGGAATTAGATGATATAACTTTATATTTATTTTTGGCCAATATAACGTCTTTTAAGTGATTTGATTCTCCGTCCTCAGTTGCAAGTGAATTATTGGAACTATCAGACTTAGTGGCGCCGAGCCCCTCGCTGAACCCCTCGCAGTCGATTACGGCCGGTCTCCATCGGTTTATCGTACTACACATCACGACTCTCAATGCAAAAGTGCACTCCCAGCATTCCACCACCTCCTGTTCCCTTCAACCGCACCCAATGAAACGCCGCCCATACCCAACAGGCCCACGCGATCGATTTTACTGGTCCCATTTCCAACATCACACCACCGCCACAGCTCACTCGGGATTGGCTCGTGTGCTTGAGGGATGAGACTTGCACCCACGACCGATAATTCATCCCATCCTGTTAAAATAGAACATATGTTGTCTGGTTCTAGACGGATCGTAGAAAACGGCGAACCCTTAAACATTATTTCAGCACACCCATTGTAAAACGACCGTGCCAAGCCGCCGAACCTGCCATGACGGATGGGGGTAATGATATCTTTTTCGGACTTCACAAGTTTCCACTACTTCTAGACGGGATTATTGGCCATCGGTGATCCAAAATGGGTGTCGTTCTAGGAAAACCGTCCGCACAGCCAAATCCTTATTCCGACGAACCAAACAACCGATAAACTCCAAATTTTCATAAAGCTCAGAGGACCTTGGTGAGAGCCCAGAATTAATTTTTCTGACATTGGTTCCATAAATTGGAGCCTGTAGAGTGCGGTAGCAAGCTGGTGAGGCCTTGTTGCGTTGCCACACAGGTACCTTTTCCTAGAACGACACCCAAATGTAGGAAGACCGCAAGTCAACTTAATAACGTTTTGATAACAATTTGTTAAAAAATAGGCCTTGACGTCATCAACTGGCCGGTTGGCGCAATGGTAGCGCGTGGTCCTCCTAAGACCGAGGTTGAGGGTTCGAGTCCCTTGCTGGTCGCTCTAGTCTTTTAGTTTTGCTTTGTTGTGAAGAGGGAGTCTTTTTGAGACTTGGTAATTCTCCAGTTCGGAGGGCCGCTGGCAAGCATCGGAAGGCATCCATCCATCCGCCCTATGTACCACAGCTAGATATCTGTTTGACTCCGCTATAAAAGCATGGTTAAATCACAGTCTACAGATACTGGACCCGCTCCTCAGTCTGATCCGGTTATGTAGGTAGCAGGTACTTGGTCCACTCCCGAGAACAAACATAGCAAAAAGAGAATAGCTTCAGTGAAGCCCCACGCGGGGGTCGAACCCGCAACCTTGAGATTACAATAAGAGTCTCACGCTCTACCGATTGAGCTAGCGAGGCGTACTTTAAATACTTCTATTAAATTTAATTTCAAGACTTAATAATGTGCTTCTCGTGCGTGGCGGCTCTGAGACCTCATCGTGGATTTATGTAGGCAGCCTGTGACATCGGCTATTTGCCTTTTAAGTAAGTATATAAGGACCTTTGGATATTGTTAACGAAATTTGGGTGCTTAAGAGGCCGATCAATTCAGTTACTTCCGCACTTATGTGTAGGCGCTGGGGTTCTTGGTATCGGCAGTAGAGAATTTTCTTGAGTACATAGCATCAAACAGAATTACGATATAGGGGCATTTCTGTATTTCAGTGCTGTTCAAGGAAGAAAAAAACTCAATTCAACTCCAATACATAATTCACTGGTTGGGTGCACAAGTGGGACAATGATCATAAAACCTTTGTAGAGTGCCGAGTGACATAGAATTTCGAAACATAAAATAGATCATAATATTTGCTTTTATACTACAAGAGAAAATCTTCTAACGCTCCTAGCGCTCTATCACATATCATTGCCACCACTGAAAACTCTGCCATTTGCCATTAGTGCTTCTACCAGCACCCTGGCCACAATTGATTGTAATATGGATAACGATTTTAATTCCTTCATGCCTCGCTAGCTCAATCGGTAGAGCGTGAGACTCTTAATCTCAAGGTTGCGGGTTCGACCCCCGCGTGGGGCTTTATTAAATAAAGCTCAGGCTCACTTTTTTGGCGTATTTTTGTCCACTCTGGTGGGTACATTATGTAATTATTTTACAGAAAACACTACTTGTAGTAAAGAGCGCCGGAGAATGAGAGGGAAGGGATTGCACATACACGCCTTGCTGATGTTAGTTGGTATGGTTGGTATTAAGTGATGTGAGGAGATTGAAAGAGTAGCCCTAGAAACATACAAGTAGGATCGGGATGCAATAATCACAAGGATGTAATTGAGATATATGTATATCTGTGTCTAGAAGAACAAAAACAGCAAAGTTCCTGACTAGATTTTCAAGGCAGGAAGATACAAAGGGAATGGCGGTATCCATTTGCGACAAAGGTGTAGGAACAGGAGAGAGATACATCTACTATGCAAGTCTAAACAACCGTTCCCAAATCTAAATGTACGTACTAATGTAGCGGGCTACAATGATACATGTAAAAAAAAAGAATGTTCTAAAGCGTACGAATTTTATAGAAAATTAAGCTAAGAGCGCCCAAATAAAATAGGGTTGTTAGAAAAGAAGAAAAAAACTCTACCGTTGTAGGAATCCACATGCTTGAGCACAAGTTTACTTCCCAGACTCACTGTAGATACAGTGAACGCGGGTGTCTTGAATTGGTCACTGTATTGTTCAAATGATAAATGCCTCGTTCAGCCAGTGCCCAACGACAATTTTGCCCTCTTGCCATCTCTTTGACCGTGTTCTTCTCACAATGATAGCCGCATGCGAGTGTCTATCGTTGTGAATGTGTACTGCGAACCTTTTAATCCCCAGCGTATCCAAGCTAGCAATGATGTCAAACTGGTGCGACGTAAGAGCGAGAGTTGGGAACGACATCTGGCTTTGCTCCGTCTGAAGCGGCTGCTCTGTCTCAGGAGCGGCCTGGTTATCTTCATATTTCTTAGTTCTTTCTTCGACTGCCGGGTCGCTTTCGTCATCAAACTTGTTCTTATCACGAGCAGAAAGTGTTGGAGTACCCTCTGGGGCGGGATCGGAGTGAACTTGGCTTTTTCGGTCTCCATCCCGAAAACCAGAGCTAGAACCTGCCAATGTCCATCCAGACCTGGACATCTCGGACGTTGTAGAAGTCGGCGAAAGATTTACACTCTCCTCAGATCCAGCGGGTAAATGCTGCGGACTCATTTCATGGTGAATATCCTCAATTATTCCTTCTGCTGCTTCCTGCATTTCTTCGACCAATAGCGGAAGTCTGTGGTAATCCAAGCTCTCATTGCTTGAATGAAGTCTAATTCTCCGCTTGCTTGAGAAGTTTTGAATGACGGAACTGAGAAGAAACACAGTTACCCCAATAGGAATTACAAGACCATATATGAGGACCGTAGGTAGCCTTCGTACAGCACCTGTAGTAGTCTTGGTAATTCGATGTGTCACAGGGAGCTTTTCATCTTCCCTTGTAGCCGGAGAAAATGGGTTATTGGGATCAACAATAACTGGGGAGTAACCTGGGACATAGTTGATCGAGAGAGTTGAGATACTGGCATATGGGTCAATTCGTGAGATGAAAGTTGTGTAATAGCATGCCGACCGATCATTAACAACATTGGCATAGAGAACCCTGTTTGAAAACAATGCGAGGCCTTTGTAGAACACTGAATCCTTATCAGAAAGGACTGAAAGCAACGGACGGTTGGTATTGCGGAAGTTATCGATCATAAATAGCTGGCGACCTGAGGCAGAGAGAGTGCGAGCCCCAAGGACATTCCTAATCAGAACTATCGTTAGGATAGAGTCTAGGAGGCAGGAAATCGAAGACATACCAAATATGATTATGCCAACCAAGGAGTGGTGTTCTCACGCCTAGATGTGGAGTTGCAAATGTGCAAAAGTTCTAACTCAAGTAAGCACATCTCGGGTTGCCAAAAAGAAAAGGGCGAGAAAACGTGAGAAAACATACCATAGGCTGAATCTTTTCAAAATATCCTTTAGAGTATAACAATCCGATGGCGTATCTTGCGACGAGACCTCCTAAAGCAGTTGAAACCACCCACTAGTCAGCCATATTGAACCTCGCCTTATTATTATTTTCTCTTTACTTCAATCATTCAGGATCTTTCGCATGCCGATAATCTAGGTACATAAGACTAATGTGCATGTGTCCGTCGCTCAGAAGAGCTGTAAGTAACTTACCAAGTGAATACCCGACAACGCTCATCTTCCGAATTTGGATACCGTTCCGAGCATATTCCTCCAGCGTATCTTCGATCTCTCTGGTCACACGCTCACCGCCTGTTTCGATTCCATCATAGGTGAATGTCCCAGCGTTGCGTTTCACAACAAGTATCTGTAATATTGATTCATCATAACGAGCTCGCAATGCCGAAGCGAGATAATCGAGATGAGAGGGATTTCCCCATAATCTGTTTGGCGAAAGTTAGTGAGTTAAAGAGGTTCTTTGAGAGAAGGCATAGCTAATATAGTTGGAAATAGTAATCAGCTTACCCATGCACGAGGACACAAAGGTGGTCACCCTTATCGTTGGAAACTGAAGATTCCATATCTTTCGTTTTGGCGAGTAAATTTGAAGTAGCGCAGTAATCGAGAAAAACAAATGATATACCGAGGGAGGAGTTCAATACAGTAAAGAAAATTATCGGCGACTGTTGTGGTAGGGGGAGTGGAAAAGGTAAAGACAAGAGTAGCGGTCACAGGTCGAGTAAATAGGGGATCGATAAAGTTGCTTCGATGTATGTATACGGCAATAAAATATAGGAGTAGATCGAAGGGAAGGAGATAAGAAATCCCAAAGGAAGAGGGGCACGGGAGCATAAAGAGATGTTCAATATTTCAATCACTAGCTAGTGGGTAAGGCCCTATCTTGGGGACAGATGACTGTAAGCACTATCCCGGCCTTGAATTCAACCATCATACAAAAGCTCTGGGATAAAGTGAGTGAACGGATCCTAACCTGTCAACACCCCGTTTAGTTCGCTCACTTAATTCCAGAGCCTTGTACATGCCTAGAGGAAGCAATACATGTATGTACTCTACACAGTAAGAAAATCCTTCTGGGTCGCTCGCTCCCTTGCATGACATGTAGGTTAGTAGTGGACAGAAGTTTTGGTAATATACCCTTTTTACAGCGAAAGTAACCATGTTGGCCTACCCGAAACAACCGCCCAACCTCATCAAAGAAAATTCTAACCCTTCAGGGGCAGTTGGAAATTATCTCAAGATGGAGCTTAGGGAATTCTAGAATTTTGTGTCCCTTCTTCAGGCGTGTGCCCTCCAATTTTTAAAGTGATGATTTGGGTGTTTCTGGTTTTGTATGGTGTCCCCATACAAATTTTGTGTTGCAACGGCAACCAAAAATTACCAAAACTTCTGTACCCCGACTGTATGTACCTACGTGGACGCACTACAGGTTTGGACGTATGGCGCACGCGACCTATCACCAGAAACATGAGTCGAGATAACGTGGCGGGGTGAGGTGCATAACACAGCACCCTACACCTAGCCCTGCAAAGCTGACGTTGGAACGGGCTATGCATGCAAGATCGTTAAAGAGATAATCCCTGGCCGGAGATAGCCAATTTATCGAGTTTTGACGGTACATGACTTCACTAGTTTGGGCCCGCCAAATGGTTTTTCGGTGGTAATCTTGTTATGCATCATCGGGATTGCAGAGATATCCTTGAGGGAAATCATGTCATGCTCACAGTGGCGCATTCTAAATCCCCGTCAAGGCTTACATCTGACCCTCCATAGAATACCGAGAAATCAACTATCCCCGCTTAATTCCGGGTGAGAAAAAGTATGAATATGCACAAATCCGTGAAGTTTGATACGCCAATTCGCCTTAGTTCGGACATACCACATACAATTACGGGGATAGTTGACTGGCTATGTGAGTTGTTAGAGTTGTCAAAGGCAGAAAAGGCATCAAATCCATTAAACTCCCGAGCCTACAATTCCGGATACTTGGTTA